TTGTTTTTTATTTGCAGAATTTTTGTTTTCTTAAAACATGTTACTTTTGCATAATCATCTACATGTTTCGTATGTAAACCTCTTATTTTCATGCTGTAGATATCAAATTCTGGGTGTGTTCCTCTTAATCCAGCTATGTATTCTTGGTGTGGAAGGACTTCGCAGAAGTAACTTATCTTCAATTGCTAGCTCTGTTCATCAGACATCGGTTGGAAGCCACCAATCTTCTACAGGTTACAGAGTTGTTAATCCAATTAGAAATTTTCACTAGTTTCACTGAATTTTGCAACATGATATGATGTGGTTAAATTTTGTTTTTTAAAGGCTTCACATCCTGTTCTGAACCTCAGTCTTTTTAATTTTTTTGAGTAAAATCAACTTAATACACCTCTAGTGCCAGTTTCCTTGTAAAGGTATGTAACTAGATAAGAAAGAGTTCAACGTCTAGTCTATGTAACTGGCTGAGTGGTTGAGGGGAGTGAGAAAGATAGAGGTGCTACAGAACATTATTCTTGGCATATCCTTGGAAGGAAATGAAGCATTATATTGATTTTTTGTGTAAAAACTGGTTTTTCTAAGATCTTTTCTGATCAACTTAGCATGCAAATATTTTCAAGCGAAACCTTCTAGAATGTAAAACTAGGCCTTTTGTGACCTTTAGTTTGGTTTGTTAAATGTATAAATAGTGGTTGATTGCTTAATGTTATTGGTTGAAACTAATCAAAAGTTAGTTTTATTGATCAAGTTGATCAAGTTAGTGTCTGCATATTTGTTGTCACAGGAAGAGGTTTGCCTATTTTAAATGAAGACGGAGATCTTATTATTGGTTCTAACCTTAGCAAGGGCAGTTGGACCTCAGAATCATCAGCTGCTTCAGAGGTCTGTCATATTCATTCTATTAGCAATTTAATGTTTAAATCCTTTCTTTCTTTTGGCTTATCAGTTAAGGCAGACTGCAAATGGTACAAAGTTAGTTCACTTAATCACCCCTTCAAGGATTCTGGCTTGAATTACATTCATCATTAATCTATATCTATCCTCTGGAAGATGGTACTTTGGAATATAAACAAAAATGGTCTGTGTCAAAAGGACTTGTGTTAACTGGTTCTCTGTGGTGGTATCCTGTATTTCATGACAAATGAGAAACTTGATGGTGGCTGTCTAAGAACTTACGCTGAGAGTGAACATCATCTTGAAAGTGGATTTTAAGTTTTTATCTTTTAGGGATACTTCATCTGACGTTGTGTTTCCTGCAATCAGTTGTCATGCTTGTTTGTCTTTATAAACTGCACACACAAAAAATGAAGATTGTTTTCAGAAAAAAATTGCTTAGATATTCATACTGAAATTCTTTCGTTTGGTGACTTAAGTCTCAGGTTTCCAGAGCTACAAGCAAGTGCACCCTCTGCCTTAGTACTCGCCAACACCCGACTGCTACACCTTGTGGTCATGTATTTTGCTGGTATATGTTCTCTCTTTAAACTGAATCCCATTTGTAATGAGCATGTTTATTATTATTTGCTTATTTATTTAAGTATTATTAGGGCAAAAAAATTGAATGCTGTGAATCGTATAATTATGTTTGCAGGAACTGCATTATGGAATGGTGTAATGAGAAGCCTGAATGCCCTCTCTGCCGAACTCCCATCACACATTCAAGTTTAGTTTGTTTGTATCATGCTGACTTCTAAACATTCAATTTACACAAAGGACCGTGAGAGAATACGAGAAGCTGATCTTACACCTTCCAGTTAAAACTTCTATTATGACACCATATCACAGCTGATTGATTTCCAGCATCATATTCTTTTGTGCTGGTAAATGTGCCCACCTTTGATATGAAGGTTCTCTAAATCGGTGACCAACTTGGAGATCTGGAAGAAAGGATGAGATATTTTGGTGTTAAGACTAACACATGAAATAAGTTTTGGAAAACAGTTGAAGACATTATGTACCATGTGATGGATTTGGGTTTGAGCTGTTTCGCTAGAGCCTCTACTGTATCATTTTATTATATGCTGAATTATCAGTCACCAATGTATGGTCCTAGCCGTTGCAAATAAAAAGTTATTGTTGTAATTGAGTTTAATTTTGCATTTCGGTATATAGGATGAGCAGCTGTGCAGTATGTAATGTTTTCTCATACTAATTTATATAGATTTCCGGGAAAAAAAATACATGATTTGTACATTGCTGCTCTGCATGATTTTCTGTATCCTCTAGATATACTTATGGTTTATGTTATGTATCATCTTCAAGCTGTTTTCACCCCAAATTTTCTCCGATACCCAAGGAGACCCTAAGATCCATTGGCTCTCAAGCTAATGACATAATTCTCAGACCCACGTTTCTCTTTGGAGCAGTTTACAGATAAGAAAGATTCCAAAATTGTTTCTCGTGCTGAAAATAGTTCTAAAAAAATTATGGGGCTAGACAAACTAGTTGTTGGGAACTAAAGTCAAATGGCTGGCATCTTAAAGTTGGATGAAGATCAATGAATTATCCAACTTACCTTAACTCATATGATTTATACTATTACCTTGCCGAATCTGTACGTATATTCGCTCTGATCTTTTTCAGATAAGCATTGGATTCCAATTCCAATAATTTGAAAGAACGTCAAGAATGCTGATGAAGATCAATGAATATGCCTTATGACATTCAACTAAATTGGCGACACATAAGTGCATCAAGAGGAGGAGAACAGTGAAGGGGGTAAAAATTTAGAAAGAGTCACACCTTTTGATTGAATTCTTATTCTCTTAATGAATCTCAGAACAAATCAAGCACAATTTGCAAGACAAGCAGAGATTAACAACTAATGAGGGCATTGACTTCATAGAGAATTTTTAGACAAGTTGGATGAGCATCTATGCTCATAAAGCTTTGCCTTCTATGAGAATTTGAGAATCTCTTACTTAAGGTTAGAGTATAAGGCTTTTAAAGCAAACTGCTTATATATCATTTTTTTTCCTCCTCCTTCATTCTTTCAAGAATATATTCCTTAAGCGAATTATTGAAAAGTTTCGATAAAAGTTTATGGATGCAAATGACTGAGCCAGATTATCTTCCTACAAATGTAAGCGTTTGAGGAAAGCATTTGCACAGTACGAAAAGAAACATGGAGCTGTTGAAGAGAGGCCTTACACGGAGATAAGAGCCTACCTTTGGTAGCCAAGGATGACTTGCCTGTGTCCTTTTTTGAGGTCTTCAGCTACTACATTGTGCTTAAAATCTCAATGTGGGTTCGTGGGCAGTCTCTAAGGCTATGTGAAGTTGCTCTATCTCGCGTGCTGGGCCACATCTCTTCGTTATCAATTTTGGTCATGCTAAAAGCTTTTTGCAGTAATAAAAGCAAGCTCTTAGAAGAGGATTATATGATTCTTAATGGTGGTATGTGATCCTTCATATTGTTCGTTACGTATAGACTAATTATACTGACCATAGGAAAGTATAACATATAAAGTGAATATCATGTTGTTTTCCAGCACTGTGCATGTATGTTTTATGTGTTGTAATGTTGTACAGACAATAATTTACACAAATGCAGAGAATAGCAGTCAATTTCAAGTAGAACCAAAAGAGCTGGTAAACAAACTTGCTAGTGGTAGGAGTAATCACAAATTTATTCAAGTAAGATTTTCACATTTCATATCTATGTAAACATAAACAAGACATTCACATACATTTCTTTGAAGAAGAAAATTAAATATACAAATCAAACCATCACAATCCACATTGCCGCTTTGCTCATCATACTAGCAGATGACTTTGTAAGCAAACTCGTGCACCACTACCTCAACTCAACTGCTCTCCTTGCTTAGCATTATAGCAAACCATTCTTTCCAGTCTGAAATCTTCTCCTCTCCATTTGTCACCTGCACAAGCAAATTTTTTATTTGTATGGTTCTGCAGTTAAGCCAGGCATAAGCCATAGAAACTTTAATAGGAGGAAGCTCGGAATAAGATTATTATTTTAAAAATGTGATTTATCTTTCGATGAACCTCAAATATGAGTCCTTTCTGAGGAATTGCATCAAGTGCCTCCACGCATACAAAAGCTGCATCCTCTTTGCTGAGCCTAACATACCAAAACAACAACAAATAAATTTTAGGTTTATATGAATTAGTTGTAGTTCAAAGGACTATATTTATATGTTGTTTCCCTCTTTTCTCTACCATGTACTTTTTGTATCTTCTGTAGAAGCAATCGAGGGGGCTACTGCTTAAGTGCTTACGTACTACTAATTGGAAGATTGTAACCTAATTCAATGATTAAGTAATAGCTTTGTTCTTTGAATATAACATTACAATTATTGAAACCCTGCCATTTCTTAGCTCTCGTGTGAGAGGTCTGACACCCAATCTTCAGTTTATCCCAAACTCTGGTAGCTAGCTACATGAATCAAATCATCTTGAGTTTCTCCCTCATCTTGTCATTGAAGTTATAATACACCCCAGCTTCTATCCTAACTTCATTGTATATTGTCATCCTCCATCTCAACAATCTTAGTTTGGTTCACATATTCTAGACATGTTTCTATAATGTCCCATGTCTGGTTGTATATCGGTTTTATAAAATCTCCTTTCACTTTAAGGACATTTCTATTATCAAATAGTACTCAAGAAACATTTGACAATTTAAATCATCCTTGATTTTTCTCCTTAAGCTGGCCATACTTGAACAATTGATCCTAAGCAACAACACTGATCACTCTTGAGTTTAAAATGAGTAAATCAAATGAAAAATAAATATACTATTCCTAGACTACCTAAGAGATATATGCCTTATAATGTTTATTGTTTATTCCTAGCATACCTCTTCAAAGCAGAAACCTTGCTTGCCACCAGGAGTATTTTGTAGCAAACCAGCTCTTATTATAGTATAAGGGATCCCAGACCCAATAACATTCTCTTCATCTCTCTCTGCCAAGTTCTTCGCCTTGCTGTTCATGATGGCCTGAAGCCCACTGCTACCTCTATAGACTGCCAACTGCAACCTTATGTGAACTCGATTCAAGAAAACAAAACATAGGTTAGTAAATGGCCAGCCAGTGCAATTGGCTGACTATAATTGAGAGGAAGCAAAATGGTTCGAAGATGGAAACCTGAGAGAGAAGTACAATGTGTTGAACACCCTTTGTTCGTCCAATGTCAGAAAAGAAACCATCCTATGGAAAGTTTATCGGAGTTTTTTAGACACAGAAATTTTATTTTATTTTTTTGGTATTCTGAGAGAGATAAACTTGGGTAAATGTCACAAGAAACCCCAAGAAGTTGGCCCATTTTGTGATAGCCCAAAAATTTGTAAATGTCACTTAACCCTTAAAACTTTTGCATTTTTCTGGAAAAATACAAAGAAAAATCCAACCCACTGTTTTTTCCTCTTTTTTTTGGGTGAAATCTACCCAAAAAAACCTAATGAACATCACCAATTCATTGGACACTTTCATAATTGATAAGAAAGGATATATAAATGAGAAAATCATACGAGAAGCATAAAACTTATAGTATAGCACGAACACGTCTTGTTGCCTTTGAGAGGAAACAACTGAATTTGTAACTAATAAATTGTATAGAACTGAAATGAGAATACATACATTTGAAGCGCTTATTACTGCATGAACTCCTCTTAATGCCTTTGTGAGGAATGCCTTGTCATTGGTATCTCCAGTCATTGACTTCTCAAATCAAAACATGGAACATCTTAACGAACTGACATAAAGAATTAAAAGATATATTCTCCAGAATAGAAGAAGGTTCTGTTGATACATTCAAATAAGCTGCAAGTGTTATGCTGTCACCTCAACATAAGTCCCAAAAGCATCAGTAGCAGCCCTTTTGTCCTTGACTAGAGCTTTCACACGAGCTCTTCTAAGAATCAATAATAATATAACCATCTGCAATTGGCCACATAATAGGACAATAAATATAATCAATTAGATACATAAGACATCAATAAAGTTATGATTTGTAAGATATAAGGATTCAACGTTACTGACTTTTTATTCAAAGAAGAGGATTTAAATTTAGATGCTATGGTACTGAGAAAACAGAGAGGTAAAAAGACATAAGCAAATATGTCTTCCGGAAAAATTCAGAATTTGGCAGGAATCATATCATGTTGGCATGAATGTTTGATTGTCCTCACAAAGAAAACTAAGTTAAAGTTCAGAATTTCATGTACTCTAACATTTTTATTGCAGGATAACTTATGTAGCATTTAGGTAACAGCTCTTATAAGACGTCTATAAAATGAGATAGCACTAGAGCATTGACATCATTCAAATGCTTCTCATCAATATTAGATTATACTTGCCAAGACCATTTTCTTGAAAACACTAAACTCTCATAGGTCCCAAATGAGATAACCGTGCATCACATATGCACACTAGAAGTTTCACTATAAACAAAAGCTGTAATGCAACGCAACAAGCAGTTAATTACAGTTTAAACTAGGATGAAAATGGTCCCTCCACAAAGCGACATAGATACTATGACTACAGATTATATATCATATTTATAGGCCAACATCCAAGATAGAAGGCAAAATGGTACACCTAGGCAATAGAAATGATATTTCTGAAAAATACTACTAACCCAAGTTTAAATTCATAAAGGAGAATTTTTTTTTTTGGATAAATGCCTTACTCAACTTTTAGCAGTCCCCATTCCGTATGTTAAACTAATATCCAGTAACCAGGGTTCTGGAAACCTAGTCAAACCAACCAATGAAAATGGCTATGCACATAGAAGCATTTAACAAGGATAGTTACACTTGTATGTGACGCTGAGGCATTCTTCAAGGAAATTAGTCTTTAAATGTTTGTTGAAGTTCATCCAAGGTCGGCAAGGATAAAATGTCAGTTCTGGCTCAAAATCACTCACCTGTCCCATTTCGCTTTCTCCATCGGTAACCAACACCGCATCACGTACTTCATCATCTTCTGTGCTTCAGCAGATTAAGGACCAAAAAAATTAAGTGTTGTAATTACTAATTTTATCCCCAGACAGGAAAGAACATAGGCAGTAACAGATTTACCTGCATTATCATCTTCTTTGGCTTCTACACCTCCATCTTTAGGAAGGAGATCCGGTGCCCCATACCACTTCCTCAGTTTTGGCCCACCTATAAATGATAAAATTTATGTGGTTATTCCCATTAGTTGGTAACTTGTAGAAAGAGATAATCTAGTAATCATCACAAGAAACAAAATAAAAAAAAAACTAATGTTAAAGAAACAAAATCATGCCAATAAGAAGGGATGCATAGAATTTTTCAATAAACAAATAAGACTGTGTCCTCGAAAATCAAACTTCACAATTAGTAATATGAAGAGCAAATGAATATTTTATCACGATCTTCAATAAGATCATAGTCCTTTAGCGATGGAATATTTACATGGGAGTAACACACCTTTCACTACAAATACAAGTGGAATTTGCATGAATATTTGCCAATTTTGTGAACCTTGCATAACACATTAACAAACTTCTTCTCTGGTTATGTAAAATTTGAGGGAAATTACAGAACAAGACTGGCAAATAACTCCCCGTAAATATTTTCTCTGCTTAGTGATGTGGAACGTGATGCAAATGCATTCATGAAGAAACTGAATCGTCAGAATTCCCAAAGGGGGGCTGGCAGAGGAAATTGACTTGCAACTAAGAATGGATCGTATTTCCCAAACCGTGTGTCCAAATTGGACGGATAATGTATGAAAACCACGTAGTTTTTCAAGACGGAGTTAGCCAAACCGACTGTTGTTCGGTTTGCCGCCATCTGTTTCACGAAATCCCCTCCGATTGAGACATATTGGACTTTTTATTAACTTTTTATTATTTTGGGCAATGTTTTAGGAGTCTGTTTTGATTAGGTAACAAATCCGATTCAATTCCAAATTTCACTGATGTTACGACCCAAAAATCACTAAGCATTAATCTTTATTAAGATCCTGACACATGTCCCTGCACGTAATCAAACAAATCCCTAACCGAAATGACTCAAGCCATTTCCATAGCCGACTCGATCGGCCGACAACTTGCATAGCCGAGTCAAAAGGCGGTACTTATTGGCCAACCCACCAAATCGACTCATACTCAACCTACTGTTCAGCCGACAACTCGCATAGCCAAATCAAAAAGCTGTGCTAGTTGGCCCTTGACCAAATGAATAGAGAAACAACAATTATCTTGAAACTCTCGCTAGTTGACTACCCTTGCATTAACTGCTCTGACAAATCATCATTACTTTGGCCCTCATAGCCTTTTATGACTCATCGGACCCAGTCAGCGCCAAGCACCTGCTGTCGTTCCCTCGTTATATGACCAAATGACTCGCCCTCTTCCGTGGCCGACACATGGAAGATGATTGCCGACTCAACTGCATAGCTGGACCCGGCACAAGTTACCTCTTTGCCCTTCCAATCCACTAGAAAAGGGAGCAGCATTGCATGTGGTAAGGGTTGATTGTTTCATGAACTTTGAATTACGCTATCTCTATATTTCTCACTCAAGTTCAACTACTGACTTAATCGTTGGAGGAACAACTAAATATCCCAACTCCGCCCTCTTATGAGCTCTTTATGGGCAGGAAAGAACAGTATACCCCAGAACCTGCCATTTGAAGGAGTTTGAGGACCTAACACTCTCGTAATCCCCACATAAATCCCTAGTTTGATAACTGACATCAACAACCGACTTGATTCCCCAATCGTAGAGAGCCTTTTAAGAATAGTTTTGCTATTACTATTTTTTGGTAAAATTCGGGTTCTAATAGGAGTGTAGTTTGTTTTCTATTTAAGCAGAGGATTGTTAGCCAGGTAACAATTTTCCATCAATAAAATTCTCTTTTATATTGCTTCGTAGATTCGAGATTGTCTCTTCATGGATCCTAAAATTGTTCTTTGTGGATTCAAAGAACAACTCTTGATAGATTCTGAGGGGGTTTTTTTTTTAAAACTTATGTGCTGCGTTATTTAGGATTCATAGAAGTCAGGTAACCCCAAACGGCAAGTGGGCAACAGAAACGAGAAGGAACAAGCAAGAGCATGATAAAAAGTGGAGAGAGAGAGAGAGAGAGAGAGAGAGAGTTAAATGCAGCTCATATCTCAAATCACCTTCGATGTAGTCGAGGATTCGGTCGGTGAAGCTTGTTTCCTTTTTCTTTGAGTAGCAGCGTAGGAGACGACGATGCAAACGAGGAGGAAAAATAGTCCATCGAGTTAGAGATAGAGAGAGGGGAGGAGAGAGATGAGCAAGAGCCATTAATTATTACAGGGTCGAGTCTGTTTGTGATAAGGCTGCTGAGTGAGGCCTCTGTGACTCTTGAGAACTGAGATCGAAGAGAAGGTACAAGGTCGGGTCGGACTGGGATTCCGATTTACCACCGTACCCAAACCCAATATGGCAATATGGCATTCATTCATAATATAATGACTAGTGCGAATCACGTGATACCTTCCCCTCCGTGAATCGCGCTGTGTCTCGTTTCTGGCTCACAATTATCACCGATGAAATGATACATAAGTGATCAGATGATTTTGTCGATGAAATTAATTTGGAGAATAGAATCCACTAAATTTCAACAAATGCCAGCAATCCGCTAAATTTTTATGCCGGCATTAGACGGCCATTTCAAAGCTAATTATAACGGAGCAGGAGGCAATTTGGTTTAATCAATATATGCGGAGCATTTGTTACCAAAACATTTGATAATATCCCAGCTATTCTTCTGTCATCAGCACTTACAACTCAATTATGGCCACCGTTGATGTTCTTGCTACAAGAGATTGGTCGAAGCTGCCAACTGATGTCCTCTGGCTAACTCTAAAGAGATCGAAGATCGTCCACTACATCCGACTCAGTGCATGAGTCTGCTCTTCCTGGAGCTTTGCCTCGCTCGAGAAGCGTTTTCCTCCGGCATTCCAAGCTCCATGGCTCATGCTGCGTAGCACTAACAATGGCCCCGGAAAAGATACAGCTGTCTTTCAATTTCCTTCACTCGATGATCACAAAATGTTCACGATCGATGCATCTACCCCAGCTTCAGGTTCTAGTCTATGTGGATGAATTATCAGAGATTTACGCATTCAATCCGATAACAGAAGTTAATTAAAAATCGACCTAGCTCCCTTCTATCACCACTTTCCCTGACATCATGTACCCTTCTTTCGACCACGAAGGAAATGTTGAAGGATATGTCTACAACGATCTCCGAACTTGCTCTCGTAAACTTCACGGGATAGAATACGTGATTGAAAATCACTTTGAGAAAGTCGTTAAATGCCCAAATGATCATATCGTTGCGGTCATATATTTCATATTTGTCACCAGGAGGACATAGGGATAAGTTGGCATTCGCTAGAACTGGGGATCAATTCTGGACTCTGTTAGAAACACCGATCACCGGTTTTTTAGGTGTTGTTTTTTTATAAAGAGAACCTCTATGCTGTTATGTACGGTGCAGAGGTTGTTTGTTGCAACATTGAAAATCCCTTTTCCTCAAAAGCATCGATTGTCGGTGATGATTTCAGGAGAGAAGATTTTCACAATTATTATATGAAATATCTGGTCGAGTCATCGTGCGAGTTGTTGCGAGCTCGGCGGAAGATTAGCGTGCTGAAATTAGATGGAGATGGGGGGTATTTGAACTGAGACTACGAGGTTTCGGGTGTTCAAGTTGAATCATAGCTCGGATAAGTGGGATGAAGTGAATAGTACAGGAAACAATGCACTCTTTCTAGGCCACAATTACTCGATTTCGCTGTCAACTGATGAGTTTATGGAGCTGCAGAGGGATTGCGTATACTTCACTGGTGCTCATAGGGAATGCTACAGATCGAGTCTCGCCAAATCGGATAGGGGATATGGGAGCATATTGCTTAGAAGATGGACGCATGAAGCCTTTGCGTTCAGATGATTATGCCGATGTTGATCATAATTGCTTGTTGAATTGGCCTCCGCCTAATTTTGTTCGCTCCTAATTACTGTGGTTAATTAGCCGGTGACGAGGAGATGTGGTCAAATATTTCAGACCTCTAAAGAGCTTAAGTTTGATATTTTTGTGAGACTTAAATTTGATGTTGACCATCTTGATAATGCAATGAGGGACATGGGTGCTCATGATGACTCAAATTGTTGAATATGATTCTTTGCTTCAGCTTTCGCTGCTCAAGCTCTACTTACTCGAACCTTGCTTCTCTCGCTTTTCATTAAATGGTTTCTGTAGAAAATTCATAATGTTTTTCAGTTTTAAGTCTTAAATTGAAAACTTTCACAAATTTATTTTGTTGTGTTTCGGTATAAAAGAGACTTAACTGAAAACTCTATATCTTATACATCTATCTCAAAGTTCACAAAGATGTAATTATTCTCGATTGTGTTAATCTAATCACTAATGTTTGAAGCCAATTAACCCTGTTTTAACTGATAGAAATTAAGAAAGAGACCCTAAATAGATTTTCCGATAACACCTCGATGGCAAGGTTGGCTGGATCACTGTTGCATAGCAGCTCAATTGGCCTGAGGTTGATAGTGCGAGGAATGAAGAAAAGTGCTGAATAAAATCGTGATTTTTTTATATAAAACAAAGTGACTTACGATCAACAAAAACAAAGAAAATTATTTGCTGCGTTTTACTACCTACATTATGAATCCGGGACACTATACAATTCAGTTTACAAAGCCAAATCAATCATGATTTTTGAGAGTTAGAGACCTACCGAATAAAATCGTGAGTAGGAAATTTTAACTTCAATGTTAAATCAATTAAAAAAAATTTTAAGTATCACTCTTACCCATGCGATCAAAATATCATTCCCGAATGTTTCATGTTACCCGAATTTGATTACCAAATACATTGCAAAGGGAGATTCATACCTCTCCTTTTTTTTAATAACAGATTCATACCACTTGGATACATGATCTATTATATTTATGCACTACCACGAAAAAAAATATTTAACCAAGTGGAAAGAATCCTAGAATTTGGACCCTTTTGTAGTGTACAGATCCTCTACATCCTTAACTGCAGAGAATTTATGCATCTAGCGAACCGTGTAAATGATATTAATTATCTAAATAATATAAAAACAATTTAAATTATAGGGCCCACTGAGATAATTCAATAGTAATAGCTCACATAAATAATTGTAGACATTATCTACAATCGAGATTGTAGAGAATCTAGAACCCTCTTGCAATGGAGATGTCACATGAGATTGGTTATTGAATTACTGCATTTTCTGAATTTTTTTCTTTGCTTTATAAACCCAAAATTAACCCCCCACCTACCCCACCCCTAAAAAAAACAATTTATTTTTATTCCCACTAACTTGAAAGCTCTTTTGCCTGTGAATCCATAGTTTTACTCTCATTTAACTTTTAAAATCACCTTCCAAATTTATTTTTAGGCTCTAAATATTTCACTGAAAGTTTTATCCCATATTTTTATACCCACCCATACCATTAAAAATTTAATTTACTTATATATCCTAAGTTTTACCTAATTTATTTTCAAACCTGTCAAATCACTTTTATAGTCAAAATTATACCAATCTATTTTTAAGCTCACTTTATATTTGGAAGCTTGTGCGTCGTTTGGTACGCGGGAATGGACTTAAATGAGAATGAAAAAGGAAGAATGAATGAAATGAAATTAATGTGAGAATGGAATAGTACGTCATTCTCATTCTCAAGTTTGTCTGTAATTTATAAAATAAAGTGGGAACTGACTTATTTTAAAATTGTATATTTTATCGATTTCTCATTTAAGTGGGAATGCTCATTCCCTATCATTTCATTGGGAATGTTCATCCCCACATAAAGTGGGAATTGATGAGAAGTGAGAATGTGCATTCCAACTTCAAAAAAGAGGGTGTGTTTGGTAGGAATGAATGAGAAATGAGAATGATCATTCAATTCCACCTCATTCCCGCGTACCAAACGAGACCTTGGTATACAATAGAAATTCCTACATTTTTCTGTAATTTGCTTATTTTATTCAGTGTTAAGTATACAATATAACCAGAATGTTTGAATCATCATTTTTTTGCCTTTTCACACTAATATAGTAGGATCTCAAACTATAGATTTATTACTTTTTTGCACATAAGCTAAATTTAGTTTAAATACTTTCAAACCAATTACATTTTGAAAGGGGTGTTAACCTATAAACCCAAACTTTTATCTAAAAACTATTTTAAACCTATCCACTTTCAAAATCACTCTTGGCCAAAATACTCAATATTATTAATTCTAAACTCAATTTGCATATCAAGAGTTTGATATACAGAGTAAACTGCAATATTTTTCTTTTACTTGCTATATTTTGGTCAAAATGGTTAGACATACATTGTATTTTAAATCAAATGCGCAAACCATTATCATTTTTTGGCTTCTTTCGTCCAATTTAAAAAAATTCCTATATAAATCTAAAGCTTTACAACCATTCATTCTAAACCTAACCACTTCCAAGATTACTCAAAGACCCAAAGTATTTAACGGAATTATTTTAATTTTATTGTGCATTTTTGTATATGTTATAAGTTGCCGTATGTTTGATATAACTTTTCTATATATTTATTCTAAATGATTAGATATAAAGCTTATTTTTCAAACTTAATTCTTAAACCATATATATTTCACTTTTCTAATTGAAGCAACTCGCAAGTGAATTTTGCTTATTCGATACTAATGCTTGGTTTGGTAGAGCGGGAAGTAAAGTAAAGGGAGGTATAAAAATCTGAAGTACCTTGGCCAATGCTAGCCACAGTTGCACGTGGGGTTCACTTGGGCTGTGACTGGGACGCATGTTCTTATCAAGCCCCTTTGTTAGAAGAGTTTTAGAAGGAAAGACAGAGCCAAAGGAAGTAAACATAGTAGGAGAAAGCTCAAAAGGAAGTAAAAATGAGGAAAGAGAAGAATATTTTCAAATTGAAGGCTTAAAAGAGAAGAGAGAAAAATTAAACTATAAGTTGATGTGTTTTTTCTCTCTCCCCCTTCTGCCAAACGAAAAGCAAAATGTATATGTACTTCATTCCACCTCAGTGCGCCTCCGTGTATCTTACCTTCCCTCTTTATACGTCTCTACCAGACCACGCCTAAAAGGCATGTGGGTTTGAATCGGGTAAGAATCCGTCGAAAACAACTCGACCCGTTTTATTTACCTATAAATATCACTAATTCGCTCCGCGGAGCTCCTCTCGAGCTAGGGTTTTAGAATCCGCAAATTGCAAGAGGCGGCCGATCTACCTCTCTCTTGCTCGATCTAAATCTAAAGAGAAAAAATGCCGACTTCAATTAGCAAAAAGCGAAAGGTCTGTCTTTTCTCCTTCTTTCTTCTGAAACCCTAGATCTCGCCGTCGATCATAACTTCTCATATTCTTTTTTTTCTTCGAATTTTTGTTCAGTTCGTCGCCGACGGCGTTTTCTTCGCCGAGTTGAACGAGGTCCTCACCAGGGAGCTCGCCGAGGATGGATACTCGGGCGTCGAGGTTAGGGTTACGCCTGTGCGTACCGAGATTATCATCAGGGCTACTCGAACTCAGAACGTGCTCGGTACATCTCTGTCTGCGCTATTGTTTATTTCTTCTTCTAGAGTATGTTATAAATTCAACGATAAATAATCGATGTTTCCTGTGTAATTGTCTGCAACTGTTCGTTCAAATGAATGAGACGGTTAAAGGTGGTCTTTACAAGAGTACTATCCCGAAATAGTTAAATCCTGGATGCTTTGGTAGATGGAAACTCTATTTTTCTTATAAAGTAAGGGTAGTGCATCCATTTTAGAATATTTGTAATAAATTTCTAATATCTATTTAACATATAACTCAGAAATGAATCAGCTGTGAACGATAGAAAACGGCAATTCTAAAAAAATGCGCAGCTAAGTAATATTTTGCGTTGTAAATGGAAAAGATTCTTATAAAGCTGTAAATTTTATCATCCTATTCCTGGCATAGGTACCAGTTAATATGGGCGTAAGGATGAGGCAGCTCAGTAGAAAGGTTTTAATTTTTTTACAAAAGAATTCCTTAATTGAGCGGATATCTTTAATAGGTACTCTTAAGTTCTGTAGTTGAATATCTTACGATGATTTATTCTTCAGTGACAATCTTTCAGTTCTATGGCTCAAGAACGAATCTTTGGGCAATGCTGAACAGTAGTCTGGAGAAATCATTCAAATTTTATAGAATGTAAATGATAGGATCCATTCATGATCTGATACTTTTGAGGACTTTTTCATGGTTATATTCGTGGTTTTCCTTCTAGGTGAGAAGGGCAGAAGAATCAGAGAACTGACTTCAGTTGTTCAGAAGCGTTTTAATTTTCCTGAAAACTCTGTTGAACTCTATGCTGAGAAGGTCAACAACAGGGGCCTTTGTGCCATTGCTCAGGCTGAATCTCTCCGATACAAGCTTCTTGGAGGACTTGCTGTTCGGAGGTGCACCTTTCACTGTAGCTTCAAAAGATTAAACTTTGCATTTGTAATTTCATTCTTCATGTTGTTTCCTTGTTGTGTTATTAGTGTAGACATCTTGAGTTAGATATTTTTGTGTACTTGGTTAGCATTATCTACAGTTACTTGCCATACAAATTTTTTCCCCAGAAAATTGAATCCTTTCGTGCCTTATACTTGCTGGTCTTAGGAACTGGCTTTTTTGTTGAATATACACACAGTATGTCATTTTTACAGCAGTTTGGTTTCTTGTACCGAAACTGTGTCTGAAGATGACTAGATTCATCTCTGCCCTCTAATGCTCAATTTTCAATATAAACCTTTACTCTTGGTTATATTGATTTGTGCCTTAAAGGGCAAATTTATTTAAGTATTAAGTTTTAATGACGCTTTCAAGCAGAGTAATATTTCTCAACATGACAAATCATTTCTTATTTCAGGTTTTTAATTATGCCATGAAATGAAGAATTCAAGAATTGCTTTAGGAGTGGTATCATAATATTCTTAGGTTTTCTGATTCTGGAATTTTTTGTTACTTCGTGAGATTCCTGTTCACTAGTTGTATAGTGAAATTCCTTGAGCTAGTTGTATAACATTCCTCTCTTGTTTGAAAAGATACCCAATAAACATATTGTATGTCTCATTGATTTCAGAGAATTTATGCAATATTATATGCGCTGCACGCTCACTAGTGATTCTGATAAAAAAGATTGTTAATGATGAGAAAATTGTTTTTCATAATGCTAAATTAACTTCTCACTGTTTGGATGCGAAGTCGACTTGGTTACCAAAAATGTAATCATGGTCCTTGAAAATGTCTTAATTCTTGACCATCTCATTTCCATTTTATTGGAGTGTGGTGCACGAAGTTTCTTCCATGATATGATCTATTGATATGTCTGACTTCTTATCATATCCATCGTCTTTCCAAAATTTCCTCTTTTTCCTTCATTCTTTTGTTTTTCCTCTTTTGGATTTTTAGAGCAGTCGTCATCTATAAAGCAAATAGGTTGTTCTATAACCAACTTTGTGTCGGAAGATGACTACAGCACTGCCTTCCATACTAACATGATCATGAGAGAATCTTACAGGACTCATTTCACAAAGTATGTTTAGGCAACATCTTTTTATGACAATGCTTTCCTATTGTGCTAGTGGTCTTTGGTGCCGCCTCTCTTAAATTTGTAAACTGTATTCCTATTTCTTTAAGTGGACCATTGCATCCTGTTGTGAGTATAAGGCTGCAGACTTGCTGGAGCAATCCTTAAAGCCTATTTGCTTATTCGTATCTGGCAATTCTGGTTTGATACAAGAGCTTCTTATTTCTTGAACTGAGCATTAGTTATATTACTCTGAGCAAGTGTTGCTCTTGGGACTCTTAATAGTGCTCACATAATAACACAATGGAGTTAGTCAGGCTTCAAGCATCTTCATATGCCTGGAGTTTGGAATTTTCTCCTACATGTTATGCACATGCTTGTTCTGTTACCCAACATCCAGAGGGGTATGTTGTGTAGGACAGTCCACAGTTCACTTCTCTTCAAAAGTTGTTTCCATTTGTGTCATGTGTGGTCATCTGAAACCAACACTATTCATTTATTTACTTACCACTTATCATGAATCTAACACTTGCTAAAGTGTAAACTGTCTCTTAAAAAAATCTGCAGGAATTTAAGTTGTGAGCACACTGGCTAAAGTGTAAACTGTTCACTTAGAAAAATATACAAGATTCATGTTGTGCCTGGTGAGGAAAACCGATTTCTTCCTATATAAATCAATTCCCTCTCAGACGGTGTTTTGGGCATGTGCAGCCAAATATTTTGAGCATCCACAGATCCTAGCATGCCGGAGATTGTATACGGATGTTTCATGTTCTTTTATTTGATGTTTTGCTGTTACTTTCTTCCCTCATTCATATACTTAGGGTGCATCTATATAGTTTGTAATGATTGTATGCTACTGTCTGCATGAAATCACTGGTTAGATATAGTTGTAACTGATGGTCGATGGATCTTTGTTATGGTCTTTAATAATCCTTTCTTTTACAGGGCCTGCTATGGTGTCCTGAGATTTGTCATGGAGAATGGTGCCAAAGGATGTGAGGTGAGCTGAGCTGCTTTTCTTTTTCTTATGAATTGTTTTTTATTTCACGGATTTTGTTTTTGATACCTGTACCTGCAGGTGATTGTGAGTGGAAAATTGAGGGCGCAACGTGCCAAATCGATGAAGTTTAAGGATGGATACATGATTTCCTCTGGTCAGCCTGTGAATGAATATATAGACTCAGCTGTTCGCCATGTGCTTCTGAGGCAGGTTGGTTTCTCATTAATTTTTTTTGTGTTGCTGTTCATTTGAATCTTTTTGTAGTTGTGCTGTGATTTCGTTTAATGACAAATGTTAGGTGGAAGAAAGCTGATTTGCCTGTAGTGATACACAATTTTATCCTGCAGTAGTTTATTTATTCAACAATGCTCCTTTATCAATCTAGCTTGTGTTTAAGTTTGCAAAGTTTTATCAATTATTTATGTGAAGCTTGAGCGTTTCTCTTTATAATCAGTTGACACCAGCATCCTTATGCCATTCAATTACTTGTATATATTTGTGCGCATTATGAACTCTATTGTTTATTCCTAGTATTTGTATAGAGCTGACATCCTTCAGGGCTCCCATTCTATTCAAGAGAGAATCCAGCCGTCCCAAATTTAAGATTAAATTAAAAAGTGACAAGTGCTGGTTTTGCTTCTAATTAATCTGATAGGCGTGCCTTTACATTTATCTAATGTCCATCACAACAGATGTGACCATAATTTTGTGTTACATGTGAAAGCAAATTAGTGGGATTAAGATTACTTATGCTGTGGACATAATTGATCAAATAATCACTGTGTGTCTTGAATTACATGTGCACTCTCTTTCTTTGCAGGGTGTTCTTGGCATCAAGGTGAAGATCATGTTGGATTGGGATCCAAAGGGAAAGCAGGGACCAACCACACCACTTCCAGATGTGGTTACCATTCACTCTCCGAAGGATGAAGAGGAGTACCTGAGGCCTCCAGTGATGGCAACTGAAATAGATGTCCCAGTTGCTTAAGTGCTGCCCCTGCAGAAGTTTCTCTTTTTTATTTTCTCGGCCACCTGGACTCCCACCAACTTAATGAGTTCTTCAGAGTTGTTTACAATACTTCTCAGAAGCACTTGTGTTTATTTAGTTTTGTACCAAAAACTTGTCGTCGTTTGAGATCAATCAAAACCCCTTCCTATGTTGTTTTGCTTAAATCTTCTCATGTCTTGACGAGGGTCTATTACTATTTTTTGAACGAAGGAGGTATGTAACTATCTCAGTTGCTGAAGTGTAGGTGTGACATGCGACGTCTAATGAAGTTTGGGATTAGATAGTTTTAAAAGGAACGGCTTGCAGGATTATGTATATCGGTGACTTGCTTTCTAATACGCATTGCTTGCCGAGAGCGTTTCCTGCTACAGTGGAGGGAGAATGGGCGGTTGTATTCTACGATCAGTTGGAAAGCTCAACAATCATTCTCCCCACATTGTTGTGTGTTTTGTATCTACTCTTTTTTTTTATGTTTCTTGTTATGGCAATTTGCGGAAAGGATGTTTGTTCAATAACCTTTTTTTGAGTTTGGGGATATTGTGTGATGACTTGCCATATTACATGCATCTTTTGCCCAAGTGTTTTTCTGGCGCAGTAACCAAAAAGATCGTAAGCTATTGTTTCTGTATGTAGCTGAACGCTTAACATGTTTTCAGTTAGTTTTGTTCAATAAGGAGCAGTTTTAAGCAGTTTCAACATTATCTTTTGGCCAACGAAGGCCATATCAGGAGTCTTCAATGACTACTGGCTTTCCAACCTTCAGCCAACAGAACCAAGTGTGCGACAGCAGGCAAATTTGATGGTTATTATTCCTGATTCTTTTGTGCCTGTCAAGATTTTTTTTTGGGTTTATCAGTTGGAGGTGAAGGCTGAGAGAATAGGAAACTAGCCTTGATGCGAATTGTTAGAATAAGATTCCACGCGACTCTCGCCGAGCAGAGCATTACTCGTCTAGATCTTGGACTTGACTGGTCTTTACTTTTATTTGATCAAATATCTGTTGGAAATTAACCAAGATTGATCCAAAATGCTACATGTTTTGGGCGTTATGGTCATCATTCTATCTGATGGCAGGTGCTCTGCTCGTTGGTCACACAATATGACCAAAGCTACACACCGCTTCATTTTGGAAACAAGATAAAAAAAAAAAAACATGATCACACATCACATAAAATCTTTAATTTCTCACGAAATTAAGACAATCATTTCATACGTCCCAACAACGAGCTCTAGCCCCGCTTGACCGGATCGAAGTTCGATACGCCCGACGACCACTCCGATGATAACAGCCACCAGCCACGCGCGCCGATACAATGCCGCAGCAAGAAGCTTTCTTAAGCGACGCGAAACCCCGGGCCCCGCGCCTCCGCTATCTCCGCGCCGCCAGAGCCGCGCCAGGCCGCCGCCGCGGGGTCGGGGCGGGGGTCACTGACACTCGCTCTCTCCTTCATTGCCTCGCCTCGATGCTACACGGACTCAAGCGCGGCGGCGGCTGGCGGCGGCTCGCGCCAGGATTCTTTCCGCCGCGGCGGGGTTCATCCGGCTTGCCAGTTCGGCGCCGGCTCGGATGCAGGGATTTCGGCCGTTGCAAACCGCTCAGCGGCTGGAGGCGTTAAATCCGGACGCGAGTCATGGAGGATGCCATGCGCTTCTCGATGGTTGGCTTGAGATTGGTGAAGATGGAGATTAATGGAGGCCGCAAGGGATGGAGGGGTGGTAATAAGATTTTTTTTTTTTTTAGATGAGCGAGGTGTGGGCGGGATTGATGATACAAGATGACAGGTCAGCATCGGAGGGCTGACGTGGAGGGTTGTGGTTGTGGGGGATGGAGGATAGGGTTATCTCTTTCCTTGGGGACGTGACGGAGGCATGCAATCCTGTGGATTAGTAGGGCCCATCGCAGTCTGGACTCGATTGCGATCATCTCCTTGGCGCGGCCCAGTGGGCAATTTTAATTTGGACCGAATTTGTTACTCCATGAATCAGTGGGCTTCTATCATGTGAGAAATGCCTAGAGATATTCGAGCTGTACCTGAGCCGACACTACTTCGATTTTTTTCTTAATACCTGGATTCTTATGCTGGGCCTTCGTAAGCTTATGAATCAGTGGGCTTCTATCTTGCTCTATTATGTAAGATGCATACTAACGCCCTTGTTTGGCAAATTGGGAACAAATTGGGAAATGGTCAAAAGGAGGAGAGTTTAAGGATAATGATTAATATAGTTAGCCTATTTAATAAGCTGAATGACAAAATTATTAACTCGTTAAGTAAATTTTATTTTAGTCAGTATGATCAGTTTTTTGTGTTTGGGAATAATGAGAATTTTGACTACTTTCTTTATAAATAGAGGGGTTAAGTTCTTTAAGTTTTCTAAATAGGAGTATTAGTAAACCCCTTATTTTGAGGAGTTAGCTCATTTTAATCCCTCAAAAAGGGTTAGCTTAATCCTTATATATTTTTTGCGTTTGGCAAAATATTAAGGGTTAACTTACTTTAACCATTGCATAGATTTTTTACGTTTGACGGGTTAAGAATGAGTTAAGTCTCCTTAACGCTTTACTTAACCCATAAACAAACGGCACTTAAAAGTTTGAAGTAATCAAACAAGCATGTCAGTTAATAGGAAAATAAGAATTAACAAAGATATCATTTCAATACGGAGAATTTATCATCGAAGGATATAAGGGTCAATATTAAGACTCTGCATTTTTTTTATACTTTACAAAACGGACTCATTTCAACGCAGTTGCAAACCAGAAAGGTGCTTAGAATTTATGCCAATTATAATATAATCTATTAAGTTGCTCATAATAGGCAATGGTCGTTGAAACTTTCCACTTTTGATAAGCATATAATTTGCAAAGAAAATATATGTACGAGTAGTGATAACTATATTACTACTCCTGCATTACTTCTACACTATAAGAGAAAAAAATGTTTCGTCCATTCTCTTTAATTTTTTTGCAAAATTGATGACTAATCAAGAGAGCACATACTTCTCTCTCGTAGTATAGAAATAGTGTAGAAGAGAGGAGTATAGCTGTTGATGACAGTTATCAAACAGGGGATTTGCGAGTTGATTAGAAGAGTATTATTGGAGTTATCAAGCTTCTTCGAATGACTAGTTTGGATGCTGGCCTGCAACGCTCTCCTATACATGAAAACTCGTGAGAGGCCGGAGTTGGATTCTCCGGTTGTTCCTCTGACGATCAAGTCAGTATATAAACTTGAGTGGGAAAATGTGAGATGATGAAGAAAGTTTCGGAGTTGTGCAAAGAAACCAGAGGGTTACCTTCAGCTGCATGACTTCCTTTTATAGAGGATCAGAAGGGCAGATAGGTAACTTGAACCGAGTCTAAACATGCAGCTGACTCGGTATGTGGCTGACAGGTGTTGGCGTTGGCGAAGATGGGCCATCCAGGAGGTCAGTGCCAAGCGACAACAACTACTTGGTGCTGACAGAGCCTAATAAGTCATAAAGATTTTGGGGACTAGAACAATGATGACTTTGTCAGAGCAGTTAATGCATGAGCAAGCGGCAGGCGGCGTAGGGTTCGAGAAAACTACGTACCACCTCTTCAGTCGTCCGGTTGAAGGCCGACAAACAAACACCGCCTTTTCAGTCGGATACGCAAGTTATCGGCTTATATAACGGGCCGAGTGGGTTACTTGCAGAGGCGATTGGTTGGGTTGGATGACAAGTACCACCTTTTCAGTCAATTATGCAGGTTGTCGGCCAGTAGAGTCGGCGGCATGTGCAGCTCTAGTCGGCCAAATTATTTTCAGGTTATAACAATAGCTATCACCATTGAGGATATGTATAGTTTTGCTTGCATCTCAAATATAAACTATTCACCCAGTTGGATCGAGTGGTTAGCCTAAAGAGATAGCCCCGTTTTGAAGTAAGCCTTCCACGCATGCACCATCCACTTCAACATATACAAACACACACATGCGTACACTCAATAGTGAATAGCCAAGGTCCGTGCAAGGTGCTCTTAGGTAGACAGTCCACTAAAATAAGTTCCTCCTCAAAAGGAAAGTGATAAATACAGTTGCTTGCTCATATATGTACTACGATGCGTTAGTCAAGTTAAATCTTGAGAAAATCCAACAATAAATTAAAGGAATATATATCAAGAAAATAATATCACACGACAATCCACATGATGATCGATCATCATCCTTTTGATTAATCATACACATAGAGAATTGCAAAATGCCTATAGTGGCTTGTGTTTTGTCTGGACAAGACCTGATGAGAAATAATCCAATAAGCATGCATACATGCATATAGACCAAACGTAGACAATGGATAATGGATTCATGGGTGTTTCGAAACAAATGGATCGCTTGCGGGTCCTCAGATATATAATAGCACTAAGTGGATTCCACTGCACAAAACCAAAAAGAAAGGCGTAACCACAAAAAAGTCTCAAGATGATGTCTATAGCAAGTTGTTACTTAAATACTTGCTTTTTTTTTTCTATGATCGACTGTAAAGAACTTTAGGGTTCCATTAAATTTTGGACTTTGATCATGGTTGTCTCGATCAGGTTATAATGTTGGAGAATGGTCTGATTCAGTCTTCTGTTTCGTGAAGCTATTACTATGGATTCAGTGGTGATGTGCCGACCTAGCTAGCATCTCATCATCACATGCAAATTATAATATTCTCCTGGAACGTGTTATGGTTCCTTTTTTTTTTCCCCTTCCTCAATTTTGGACTAGAATAAACTTCTTTTTTTAAAAAAAAATCTATACTCCCTTATCATAACCATCTATCTTATGAACAATTTTGAGTTTTCTTGATGTAAAGCGACAGCGATACACTATATGACGAGAAGCTATGATATATTCACCACAGGCTAATTAAATTGCAGCTCCTCATCTTTATAATCACTTATCGACTCTCAATTCGTTTATAACTTTTCGACAATTCCTGCACTTGTAAAGAACTAGGTTTTCGTTTATAACTTTTCGACAATTCCTGCACTTGTAAAGAACTAGGTTTTATGCACGTGTAATGCACGTGGTTAAATATCATGAGTAAATATTTTTAATTTATTTCCTTACTAAAATTTGTCCCTCGGTTCCACTTTGATCGTTTTTGCTCACTTATGCCTTTAAATTTCAACATTGTGATTATTTATTTTCTTTGATGTTTATTTGAATGGGCTACACCAAGTTTAAATTTTTTATGTTGATAATTAAATTGATAGGAAACAAATGTAA